TACGTTTACACGTTTAGACTATCTTAAAACTCAGAGAAATGGCTTAATAAATTAATTTAAACGCATTTAATTTGAAGGCCGGACGAACAAGACAATTAAAGTATCAGCCTACCATTCCGGGAATCTGGGATCAAATTTTAGCGAGGAAGTCCCAGGAATTTTTTATGGTAGGCAGTCTCATTCCTCACCATTCGACCGGTCTCATCGTGATCCTGGACAAATCCATGATGTTTAAAAGACCTTCTTATTAACGATCTCAGGGCAGAAAGAATAAAGAAAAAACTATCTTATAATGATATATCCCTGAATAAAATGGCACAACAAGAGTTGCTGTAAAATTTGAAATTTGACTATTAAAGCTCACAAAAATTCTCCTTGTGTTTAAATGAAACCCAAGATTTTTTTGTTTTATTATGGCAACGCAACACTTGGGCGATCTGCCTAAGTGTTAGTAACTGGCCCCCTATTTAGGCGCTTCAGACGTGGAATAAACCCGGAAAACTCCACATAGCCATCCTGGCGAGGCGCGAACCTACGGCCGAACTCCCAGTATTCAGGAAACGGAACCGCTTGGCCTTTGGTGGGCAACGCAAGAAGTGGAAAGCAATGGAGCCTACATTTTCAGGCTATATCACCATGAAAAATTCTGAAGATTCGACTGGGCCTAATTCAAGTCCCGCAAAGCAGCAAGCAGACACCTTACTCTCGTAGGTCATATAGAGTACAATTCATTCGACTTTACAAACGAATAACAAACAAGACAGTCATAAAGAGCTAGTTCTATTCAATATGCTTCGAACGAAACTTTAACGAAATTCAGGAAGAAAAGAGTACCATTACAACCAATTTGAATTCCAGTAGCATAGCAATTTAAATTTTTATGGAGGGCTCAGCATTACCATTTGTTAGACAATGAAAAATATATTTCTATTGCGTATTTTTGTTATTATTAAATGTATATCTTTAAAATATCTCTAATACAAAGTCTCACAACCCCAGGAAGATGTCGCGCATCTCGGAAATACTTATACCTTAAGTTAAGACTATTGTTCTAGGGTGTAACCACACTTAATCACACAGAAACAGAAAACTTTTGACTTTTGACTTTTGGCCCACCCTAGCTTTTAAATATTAAAATTGATTTATAATGTTACAATATTATATGCTGGTTTTGTTTGGTTAAAACAATTCAATACAAGAGCGATCTGCCAAGGGAAGTGCCTTCAGGGAGAACTTACTATGGGAAATTAGCCCCTACTTAGACATGCGAAGAAAGCTCGGAAAACTCCATTCGGCAAGACAATTGGTCAGGCATGAGCTTGGTAGGACAAATTACTTAATAAAAATCGTGTTAATTCATATTCGCGTAATATAAATGGCATCCAAGAATTCGTGTTTAAATATGCTTAAGTTAAATTAAATAAAAAAAAATTTATTAATATAATATTATATAATCTTGCACTGCATTTTTATGCGTGGAATACAGCTAAAAATGTAAAAAAAAAGGCTTTATTTTGGAGAAGGAACGGATTAATCTCGAGAACGGTATTAAATAAAATGAAATTAAAGAGCAGGTATGGAAAGAGAGACAGGAAGCCCCAATTAACTATATATGAACTTTCGAAGCAAACTGGAAGTCACGTTATTTCAATTCAAAATTTTCCCTGAAAGGAACTAGATAGATGACCGGCACGACTCCATTGCTAACGGAAAAGTATGATGTACAGGGGCAAGCCACTACTAATTTGAAATAGAGAGCATATATTTTAAATTAAATAAATTAAAAATATCATTAAAAATTGTAGCCCAGCATTATGATAACATTACAATAAATAATGCCTCGTTAAAAAATATAGCAACTAAAATATAATAAAATAATCTTTAAACTGTTACACCATTCTTAAAATCTAGAAAAAACATGTTTGTTTCCAAATGCATTAAATTTACACAAGAGTTCATCACTTTGTAGTCTTTAACAATGAAGAAAATAAGTTAAATAGGCTATTTTACCATTTTTTCCAAAGAAAATAATTTTGAATTTATAATTACAATTACTTCACTTCTTTTCAGAATTAAAATCTAATTTATTTTTAAGAATATTCTTTAAGTTTTGTTTATTATTTTAAAAATATTCTCATGTGAAAATTTTCATTAATTTATATTTTAAATGAAATTTGTTATTTCACGTTTTCAGTCAAAATATTAATTTTAATTACGTTAGAAAATCAAATGATTAAACCGTCTACTCTAAAATATTAACTGATACATTTTCTTGTATTAAGAAATAAAGGTCCTAAGAAAAATAAACATAAAAATGATCACTCATCTGTTTGGATGAACAATTGAATTTGCATAACTTCAAAAGTGTCCAGCAGAGGTAAAAATGTGCCAAAATAAATCATACATTCTGAGTTTATGTACTTCATTTTACGTTGAGAGTATTATTCTACCACTTACAGATCCCATGTTACTAAGCTTTAAAGTTGGATTGCGTTTTTTTGTGATACAGTTTCTGCCGTAAAATCTTTCTAGTGTAAGTATTTACGTATTTATTTATGTTATAGACAAATGTACGACAAAAAATATTCTTTGACAACGCGAATTTAACAAATATCCTTTGCTTATCTCTTTATAAATCTAATACATCGTTACACGTGCTACACTTTGTAATTGTAAACAGCCATATTTCAATTATTTCCCATTGTCAAACGACGTTTAATGTTGCCAATTTCAAAAAAACGTCATAAGTGCAGCTATTCAAACTTATTACAGAAATTTTTCCGCCATATTTCTTATAAAATAAGATAATTTCGTAAAAGTCACTAACTACTTAGTCACTGTCAGCAACTAAAATTCAGATACTTGTCATAGCATGAGACTAGTTTCTGTATCCCCTCGTCGAAGAAGTTTCCACCTCGGGATAACTTCCTAGACGTATTTTGAAATTTTGAAAAAGCTGCATAGAGCCATTCAAACAAACGAAGAGGAGTGTTGACGTAAGGCGTTGTGTTTCTTCATGTCAATGAACACCCACAAAGACAACTGTTTTTACAAAAGACATCCTGCAGCAGTTTCGTTTGAACCTGTTTCCACACATCCACTATATAATCCAGGCTGCGCTCCCAGCAATTTTCATCTGTTCTCGTGGATGAAGGTCTGATTAGAAACGCCATTTCCACACAAACGGGGAGTTAATGGATAGTATAAATGAATGGTTTAGCTCCCAGGCGGTACTTCTTTCATGAGAGGATACAGAAACTCGTTCCATGCAGTAGCGGATCTAGATTTATCAGCAGTGCCGGCCCGAGACAAGTTTTAGGATGGAGCGAGATCCTATTGGTTGCCCCCTAATTTATACCCTTGGTTGCCCCTAATTTATACCCTTTAATTTTCTTTACCACTGAGGCGCCCCCTAAGACTTAGCTCCTCAAGCGGCTGCTCCGTTCGCCCTATGGTAGAACCGGCTCTGTTTATCAGGGCCTAGGGCTTATTGAAGTCCAGTGGGACCCAATTTTTGTTAATACAAATAATACTAAGCATTATCATTATTATTATATTATTAACCTTAATTAACTATTTTTTACTATACGATAAGTGGTCATTGTTAATGAAAAAGTATTAAAGATTTATGATAATAATTCAATTTTTCTGGGCCCTTGACACTTGGGGACCAGGGCTTAAGCCCTATTAGTTCCTATGTAGATCCGCCTCTGGTCGCACGCTATGAAAAGTGCTTAAATTTACAAGGCTTAAGTTTAAAATTTACAAATTTTAAACTTAAACCTTTTTCGTTTATCAGTGAGGTGCTGGCGAAACTTTCGGGTCGATAGATCAAAATACACGGGGGTTCCCATAGAGCTAATTCAGTTTTATGGTTTAATTTTATGCTTATAAAGATAAAATTGCGTGAAAACAAATAAATTTTATTTAAAATGTTACTCAGAATAGCAAAAGCTCAAATTTATGCGAATTAAAACTTTTTTATAAGGCTTTTTCTAAACAACGGTTGGTCCGTCTGGATATGTTAGGTTGATGAGGAACGGTGTCCTCACCAGTCCGCTGTATTGTAGGACTAGCCGAATCTATAATAAACTTGCTAAAAAGACCCCCCCTTAGTGCGTGTAAGGCGGAGAGATTAAAAAAAAGTTCTGTTCTCAATTTATCTGATTTGTATCATATAGATACGTTTTTTAAATCGTGATACGATTCAGATATACTCAGAACTATAAGCATGTACTGTACGGTACGTACAGTACCTTATTTGTAAGTTTTGTATATCGTATATTTTGCAGAAAATTTATGCACGTATTTTTTAAAATTTTGCATATATATTTACATTAATTTGATTTTATTATGAAACGTTCAATTCCTAAAACATCCTAATGAATAAAATTGAATATAATTAACGACTTTTAATTTCTACTCTGTGGACACTAATAGGACCTGTTTTTGCAAGCCCATTATGAGTTCGGCCAGGCCCACAGGTGGGCAGCCGAGTGTTGAGGAACGGAACCCAACATTTCCGAACGGACCACACTCCGAAAAATTCCTGGGGGATTATTTGACCCGTCCGGATTCGATCCCGGTTCCCCCAGCGCGTTAGGTTGCCACCTTGCCATCTCGCCATCTTGACCGCTCGGCCATTCGAGTAAAATAATATAGTAAAAATAACAAATATCTTAAATAAAATAAAATAAAATATATAATAATATAATAGAATTTATTTTTAAAAAGTTCTGATACCAAACTCCGAATACAAAGCATCGTATTCGATAAATAATCCATTATATTTTTAATCTCTCAAATCTATCAATTCATTATTAAGTAATTAAATTAATCTGATTTAATTAAAACTGATAATTAATAAAATTAGTTAAATTGTGTAAAATCATTTTAATATAACCAAAATACATTTAAGAAATTTTGCCATTAATCTCGTCTTCAAGCGGGAAATATAGAAACCATAATCTCGATCTTCATCTTACGAAGAAAATAAACAACGAAGATTTGTCAAACTCAACTGTGAAGCATGAATGCTCCACCAGCTTTCGAGTCATTTCTTTTATTTGACGGAGAGAAAAAGTAAGTTTAATATATAAGTTTATAGAATAATTACTCATTTCTGCTTCCAAGTACTTTATTATATAATACTAATAAAAAACAAAAAAAAAATTATTGTAATTCAGGTTGTCTCTTACATATCACCTTCAAAGAAATTAAACGATACTGTAATACTCTGTACGATACAGTATTTTGTACTTATACTGTATTTACACGGAAAGAATTACATAATAAAAACTTGAACATCAATTCACTCAAAACTTTGATTTTGTAACATAACATCTCAATGGCTGTGTTCAGCAGACTCAACAGTTGTGACTGAGCAAAGGTGTTTCAATCAGTAGCTGTTACATAGTTATGTCTGCTGAACTATGAGTGATGTATGCTTTGGAACAAAAAGCAGCCATCACTAGTCAGTTTCAAGTAGCGTAAATGAAAGATGCTATTAAATGTGATGTCAAAATACCAAACATGTTCCAAAATAACAGGGTGTTTGGCAGGAAAATACTCAACTTTAGAACTATTGAGTCTGCTGAATGCAGCCATTCATTTGTGTTTTCAATTATTTACACAAAATTATTTAAAAAAGTTTGGTAATTCCATTGTTAATTCTCCTTTCCTCATTAATGCTATAAATTATTAGAAGAGAATGTTTATCTCTTCCAATCAATTCCTGCAATTGTAGGAATCCCTCTTGTTCATTTGTTTCTCTTTTAAACCGAAATTAAATGATGAAAAAAACATAGCAATATGTTATTTGAACTCTCAGTAACCAAAACTACACTAAAATTAAAATTTGAACAATTTTGCATTCTTCTACTTTCTTGGCTGTTATGGAACAGAGTGAAAGGATTGCAATCAGTCAAATTTTGATTCTTCTGGTTATTGCATTCCTTGACATTTTAAAGTTCTCTGATCCTAAAATAAACAAACAAAGAAAACAAAATTCTGTTTTTGTTGGTCTGTATTTCACTTTATACCTCAGGACTTCTGGACCAAAAATTTTGTAGGAATACTTCTATATACAGGGTGTATCAGAATGATGTTTTAAAATTTGGGGGGATTGTAGAGGATGAAATTTTGAACGCTTTGATATAAGGAACCTATAGCCGGAAATGTGATATAAAGTTTCTACATCACTTTGCACGTTCTATGCGGTCGGTATGCTGAATGAAACAGCAGAATACAGTATTTATGACAAATTTTATTGACAAAATAGTAGAGTACAATCAAACTGTACATCGAATCAGTGGCTGCACTACTTTAGAGTAAATGTTCAATGTGACGACCACCAACTTCATTACATAATCTGCAATGACAAACCATGTTTTGTCCAATTCTCTGTAAGATGCCATGCTCCCTTCTGATGCATTTACAAACGGGTTTCAAGTGCTGCATTTNTCTCCTCCCGGACAACAGGTCTAATGAAACGCAACAAATATATGTGGGGTGACTTAAATCTATTACTTATAACTAAAGAAGGAAGAGAAAAGTAGATGTTTAAGGACAGTGAGAGGGAAAGATAGAAATACCCAGGATTCCTTGGCAATCTTTGGGTGGGTTATCATCCTCAGGTCTTTCTTGGACTGTTGTCTTATCATCGTTCCTGTACACCTTTTGTATGGTATTTTCACAATATTCTTTTCAAAGTTCCTTTGTGGGAAGTATTCGTTTCTGATTCCAATGGCTTCAAGTAGTCTCCAATCCTCCGATTTCCGATCTGGAGCACTAGGCCGCGATTTTTATGCAGCGCTTTACAGCAAACACTCTGAAACCCGTTTGTAAATGCAGCGCTGCAATGTAGCGAACCGTTTTTAAATGTTTGCTGCAAGAGGTCGCTGCAGCGAAGATAAAGCAGCTTTGAACCACGCTTTATTAGCAAAGCAAAATGGATGCCTCCACATCTCAAATGTTTAACGTTGTATTATGCTACGAAGACAAACAAATGAATGTTACCGTAGACGAAAATACAATGAAAAAATTTAGTACAGGTAAATATTTTTATATTTATGTACATTCTTGAAATAATAAATTTAAATTTATCTGTTATTGGTATTGTTTAACTTGAATTAGGTTATACTGATATGATTAAATGGAATTGTAGAATCAGTTTTTAATTTCAGCTAAGGAAAGACAATACCAAATAAGTGATAATCACATTGTACACATTTAAGATGTTTAATTTTAAAAATATACTATTTTTCAGATGAGACATTTCAAGAGAAGTACTGTGAAGTATTCTTTTCATCAAATAATATTGAAGGCACAGGTGAGACATGTTTTATTATTCATTTAAAGCATTCTAGAGACAACTATGATAAAATTGTAATACCGTTGTAAATATATATCCAGGGTGGCCAAGCTCCTTGATAGTCCGAGCCATTTTTCAAAATTTGAAATTTTTCGCGAGCCGCAATTAAATACGTATTAAAAAGGTATGCAAAAAATTCCAGATTACAAATTATATCCATAGCAAGAGTGATACAAATTGTTTCCTCTGGAGCACAATGTCAATTGTCCATTGCACTGACAGTTTACAAATTCAAAATCGGTCTGGAGTCGGTCGATAACGGACGATTACGCCACTGTTTATGTTAGTTCGCGCAGTTTTCGATGATTCATATCATTCTTAACTTGGACGGAAATGAAATTTGTTACAACGTTGCACTTAGTTTTTCATATTTGTTGTTAGTAATTTAGAAGACATTTTGAAACACATATGGAACGATAATAATTTTTAAAAATATAATAACACAAAAATGAAAAGGAAACTCGGATACATTTATGGAGAGCCACAAATAATCCTTCAAAGAGCCGCATGTGGCTCGCGAGCCGCAGGTTGGCCACCCCTGATATATATATTTAAAAAAAACTGTAAATAAAATCTCTTTCATATATATATTTACTGAAATCTCAAAATTTAAAATTTTCCACCACAGGTTCAACTGCTTCTGAAACTGTACCTGCTGAGAGTACTGAACAAAGGAAGTGTGTGAACAAGTTAGATTCTGTAAGTATTATATTTTATGAGTTTAAAAATTATAGCTTACATTATGAAGCAGTTATTTCTAAGAAAACAAGATCTGTTATTTTGAAGTAAAACCCTTCATTTTATTAATTTATACATTTAACATATTTATGATAAAATACTTTAAGTTTGAATATTTTTGTGAATAGTCTTTATAGATTCTTTAATTAAGTTTTCAGAAACTTACTTTATAGTTATCAACATGCTAATGAAAATGTAATATTTTATAGGAAACTACATGGACCACTTCCTCTGTGAAAAAGCTTATAGAGTTTCGCAGAGAAATGGACTTACAGTTTCAGAGTCCAAGCTGCAAAAAAATAAAATTATGGGACCAAATAAGCCAAAGTCTTAAAAATGAAGGTATTCACATAACAGCAGTAGAGGTGGACAGAAAATGGAGAAATCTAATGCTGACGTACAGGAGGAGGAAAGACCAGATGAAACGATCTGGAGGTGGGCAAGTTCCCTTTTGGGAATTTCAGGATGATTTAGATGCTTTCCTTGCTTCAAAAGCAGGTGTAAACCCTGCTTTTGAAGCAAGGAAGCATCAGGAGCATTAGGAAGCATCAGGAGCATTTTGAAGCATCAGGAGCATTTTGAAGCAAGGAAGCATAATAATGTATCAGGAGGTGTAAATCCTCCTGATACATTATTATCATCATTATCCTCAGCAACTGAGGAAAATGTTGAGGAAATTGCTGATGCCTCTACTTCAGACAATTGCCTGGAGAAAGAACAGGCACCACCAAACCAAAAAAAGAAGAAAAGACGAGCCTCCCAAATGGTTTCAGGAATATATTAAAAAACAAGAGGAGGTGGATGAGCAAGTGGAAGAAAGTAGAAGAAATAGGGCTACAAAAATTGAGCATTTTAAAAAATATTTTAAATATTGTTCAAAAAAGTAAAGAAAACGAATAAATTTAAATGTTTATAATCAAATGTGCTAACAGAAAATAAATCTCTAAAACTGTTTTTTTTATTAATAAAGCATTATTGTGTTTAATTTATTCAAAAAATGGCAAGAGAACTCTATTCTCAGACTCCATACAAGCTCTCAATGGCTGTTTTTTTTTTTTTTTTGGATTTCCAGTTTTAATTAAGCCTTAGAAAATGCCTCGTTTTGTATTTTCTTCCTTTGTTCATCAGTATGACATAATGTTGAGTATTTTGAATCTTAGCCCAATTTATTGTCTTTAATAGCCTCTGTGTAAAACTACAAATGCATTACATACTTCTGTAAAAATTTAATTCAATAAGAATATACTTATAATAATAAACAATGCTTTTTGCCCACGACTATAAATTAGACCTAATAAATAGGGTATAACAATTGGTGTGATAAGACCTGCAATTGTTATACCCTATTTATTAGGTTATCTAATTCTGTCTAAGAATATACTTGTTTTTAGACCAAAATAAGGAAAAGATCTTCAATAAAAGTGAGTTTTCCCTACTTTTGAATTTAAATAATCTTAGTCAACAAGTGTAAATAAGCAAATTTTAAAATATAAACGTAGAAAAAGTATGAAACAATTTTTAGCTTCTTGGTAAAAAGACATTTGTTGGTTTCTATAGGGAGCCCTTCAATTGATAGATGAGTGAATTTGTGATAAACATCTTATTAAGAACACTGACAATAGATTGTATAAAACTATTCTCTACATTTATTAATTTAACTACAAGACAATTGTAAATTATATTTTTAATAAACATTTCAATTCTGCATCAATAGATCTGCTAATTGATTACGTTTTACTTCTGCAGCTGTACGATTTCTTGTAATTGGGTCTTCTGCAGGTTCATTATAATCATCAACAAATGCATCCTCTGTACAGTCAATATCACCTTGATTAATGCACAAATTGTGCAATATACATGATGTCATTACGACTTTTGACATTGATGAAATGTTTTCCATGTCCAGATATTTCAGACGACGGAATCGCCCTTTTAGCAGACCTATGGTTTGTTCTACCACAATTCTGATAGAACTGTGTCTTCTGTTAAAATTTTTCTGTTTTACAGTAAGATTACCATAATCTTTATATGGTACAATTAAAAATGTATCTAATGGATACACTGAATCTCCAAGTAAATAATACATATCTCCTAAATACCTTGAAGATTCATTTAAAAACATATTATAAATAGGGCTCTGCTGCCAAACCCGAGAATCATTGGCACTACCAGGCCAACCAACAAATGCATCAATAATTTGCATTTCAGAATCACAAATTATTTGCAACAGGATAGAGTGCCTTCCTTTCCTGTTGTAATAACTCTGGCTGTCTTCCTTTGGAGCTTTTATATATATATGTGTGTTCCATCAACACACCCAATTACTCCAGGCAATGAAACAGAATGTAATTCTTCAAACTTATGAATTGTTCTTTCCAAGTTATCATTTGGCCATGTAATAAACTTGCCAATCGTACGACACATTTTTTGACAGAAGTCTATAAAGATTGTGCGCGCATGACCTTTATTGACACCAAATCTGTCTCCAATACCTCTAAATGATTCTTAGTTAGCAAGAGTCCAAATACTTAATAATACTTCCTTTGTAGAAGAAATAAGAGGTCGTCCTTTTTTCTACTTTCATTTCTCTCTTTGAATTTAATAATTTTATAATTTCCTATAAAAGATAAACGCATTATCAGTTAATTCAGAAATTAATAGAAAATTTAGCTTATTTTAAGTTAAAAACTTACTTCTGTTGAACTTTTTGTGAGTCTAAAATGAGATTTGAAGTCATCCATAGAATATGAAGGTACGACCTCTTCAACGTAATTTCGTATCTTCTGTCGCTTAGATTTTTTACGTTCATTGGAAACAGCGATGCCAACCATTAAATTTTCATACCTCCTTTTTACATTCTCTTATAATTCTTTAAATAATATGTTGCTTTCTAAAACTGAAATCAGCAAACAAACAGCGTCCATTTTGCTTCAGCGACAAGCGTTTGTAAAATGCCGTGCAGCGACATGCAGCAGTTGCTGCTCATGACATCATTTACGCTACATTTTCACTGCATAAAAAAAACGCGGCCTTTATATCACATTTCCGGCTATAGGTTCCTTATATCAAAACGTTCAAAATTTCATCCTCTACAATCCCCCAAATTTTTAAAATGTCATTCTGATACACCCTGTATATGAGGAATGCTCCACATATAAAGTATTCCTGCCAAATTTCAAAATTTTTGGAGCGATGGGATTAGACAATGAAAATTTTACTCATTATTGGCTTTTGCCTTTTTCTAGCTTTTAAAAATTATAATTGAAAATTATCAGATTTGCTTACTAATTCCTTTACTCCTGTTAGAGTACCAGGAAAGTTGTGCAATGCACACACTAGTGGTCCAGTACAGTAGTTTTATCCATTAAATGCTCACTGGTAAGGCTATGAGTTAACACCTCACCAACAGGCTGGTTGCATAGGGTTTTTTCATGTGTCTAATACTTAAATGCAGCTGGTTTCCCGTAGAAACCCTTCTCAGGAGGTATTTTTCTCTTTGCAGATTGTCAATGTGTTGTATTGCCTTATCCTAAGTCATGCAAGAGCCCTTCGCAGCTTTTTTCGTTTACTTTTGTTTGGGAAATGCACTTTGCTTTTACTTATTTTCTTCTTACAAAATATTTAACTTTACGCACATGCCCTAATCAGAATAGATTTTTTTCTCCTTTTTTGCAATCCCAAACAAAGGGAAATAATTTTCCCATCCAAAAATTTTTTGAAAATTAAAGCAGATACAAATAGCCATGCTTAATAGTTTAAATCCACTTCTAAACTAATTAAGTAAGTAGTTTTGTTTTCTGTCAATAGATGGTGAAAATGGTAGTGCCCTCTGTGATATGAAAACAGGCTATATTATAACATTACATTGTGAAAGTTTCTTTTAGATATTGTGTTTGTTTGTGTGTGTGTGTATTCAAGTATAAGTTATTCAAAAAGCAACTTCTATCCATTATAATTTACTTTTGACACTACTTATACTTTATTGAAATTCAGCTAAAGACAAATGCATTTACTATATTTTTGCACAAATAAAAGTTTGCTCTTATGTGAAACTTGCTTCTTTTTCCAGTTTTGAAACACATGTCCTACTTTGCTTATAAGATCATATCTTGCATATAAAAACATATTCTTTTGTTTGCCAGCTTGATTTGGCTGATAAGAGCACTCTACTGCTGTGCCAATGTAAATTAAAATGAAATATACTGATATAGAAACTTATCAGTGACATCTCTGTGGTAAGCATTATTAAAAACTAAAAAGCCAAAATTTAAAAATTTGTACTATTATGGAAAATTTTTTTTAAAATTTGAGGTTTTTTTAGATACTCTGCAGAATACAGTGATTTTGCCTCATATATAGACACCATCAAGCAATCGTGGGCTCGAAAGGCACTCCATGGCAGGCATCCTTATGACCTGGCCCAGGATTTTGTTGACAAAACTGTGTCAAACAGCTGGTTAGATCGAGGATGCCTCTTTGGGGAGATGGAAGGATTCATGATTGCCATACAGGATCAGGTCAAAAATACTAAAAACTACAGAAAACACATACTCAAAGATACAACACTCACAAATGACACATGCAGAAAATGTCACATCATGCCAGAAACTATACAACACATCACTTCTGGTTGCAAGCTCTTGGCACAGACAGATTACTTACATAGACACAATCAAGTAGCAAATATAATACACCAAGAGCTTGCAAAGAAACACAAATTGGCAGACATCCACGAACCATACTACAAGTATATTCCACAGACAGTATTGGAAAATAACACGCACAAAATGTATTACGACAGAGCCATAATCACAGATAAAACAATTTACCACAACAGACCAGACATCACACTCATTGACAAACACAATAAAATCACATACATTATAGACATAGCCATTCCAAACACTCACAATGTGCAAAACACACGCACTGAAAAAATTAGCAAGTACACAGAACTCGCCCAGGAAATAAGGCATCTGTGGAGGATGGATAGGGTGCTTATTGTATCTGTTGTTTTCTCCTGTACAGGTGTGATACCACACACTACACAAAAGCCTGGGAACATTACAATTGAGTAGAAATACATACATCACACTACAGAAGGCCACTATATTGAATACATGCCACATTGTTAGGAAATTCCTGAATACACACACACACACACTTATTTAATTTTAGTTTTGTTTTGGTTGCTATGCCTTGACTTTAGTCCGGCATAGTACACAGCCACCGGTGTGAACTGAGTATAACTCACAAAACCCAATATAAAAATAATAAAGGTCTTGGTTTAACAAGAAGATAAGTGATATCTTAAAAAAATTGTCTTGAAACATTTTATCACAAATAAACATTTGACTCCTTTAACTTTATTATCTATGGTTTGTTTCTTATATAAAAATATGGAATTGGTACAGTAGATCAAAACTTATTAATAAACTATATAGTTTAATATTTTGGATAATTATATAATTCTGTAAACTTAAAATTATTAAATTAACTATGT